CTGTCAGTCCATCGATAACCTGTCCCCAGCAGCCGCTGCGCACCAGACTCCACACCGGAGGCTCAGGGCCCCAGCCCCGACCCAGCCCCAGCCCTGACCTGCTCCTGCCAGGGAGGAAGCCAACAATTTCCGTGCACCGGCTGCCCAGACTCTTGAAGAGGCCTCAAGGCCAAATGTCACCCAGGGCACTACCCGCCTCGCCACCCCCATCCCTTAACCCAGGCCTGCACTGCCACCTGGTGGTCACATTGGGAAGGACTCCACTAAGGCAAAATGGGTTCAGCCTATCCACTGTTTTGGGGAGGTTGCCACTTGGGGGTGGGAACAGACCTCCAAGGTCCCCCTGGAGGGAGTGGAGATGGGTGTGGTCTCTGGCGGGGAGCAACGCCATTGGCCTGGATGTTCTCGAAGAGCAGTGTCTGACAGACCCACCCCGCAGCAGCCCCAGCCTGGCGGACAAGGAGGTACCCAGTAGGGGCAGTGTGTGTGTGGCCCGTAGGGCTGACCTAGGGCACTGCGGGGTCGCCATGTTTGCGGGGTCACCTGGTGAGATTGCCACCGTCAGTGTCCTGGCTGGGGGGAAGCCCATTGTCCTTTTGTCTTGCCTGCTGCCCGGCCTGAAATGTCCCCTGTCACCCGTGTCCAAACGCAATGCAAGGCCCCGGCACAATGAAAGCCTTGCCTTGCCCACAGTCGGGAGGCGTGGTTCCTCCCCTGAATTCCCGCGTCACCCGCCTGTACCTCTGCTGCTTCCCGGGAGGGGTGTGTCATTGCCGCCAGGGTCCCTGTTCTGTTTGCACACTGTGTGGGACTCTTCCGGGGCCGGCCACAGCGGGGCGTGCCTCGGCTTCAAAGAGAACGCACGGGTGGTGACAGGAGAGGCCAGCTCTGTCTCCAGAGGACACCCTTTCCTTCTTGGGCAGTTTTGGGTGTGAGCTCTGGGGTTAACCCACCTCGCATCATACCTGGGCCCCGCCACGTGCTAAGCAGCCCGCTGCTCCGTGCCTCAGTTTCCCCATCCGTAGCATGAGGGCCTGGCGGTGTCTGTGCTCTGGGATGGCTGGGGGACCAGTGGGCTCTGATTCTGCCTGTGAGCCCCCCGGGCAGCGGACGCACACAGACTCTGAGACTGACCTACCACGGGGTTTGCAGCAGGAACAATCCTGCCCTCCTCCCCACCCAGGGCTTTATGGTGTCACCCTCCCGACCTCTTATCCAGTCACTGAGCAGGGTGGGAGGGAAGGCTCCCTGCAGTGCCTATAGCTGCCAACAGATGGCAGCAAGGATGGCTTTGGAGGCTGGGAGATTGGGGAGCCCAGTGCATCCACCCCACACCTTAGGCCTCAGCACCCTGCTGTTTCTAGGGCTTGTCCGACACTCCTTTCTGGAATGGTGTGGGACAAGGGCAGAGTCCCTGGCTCTAAGCCTCACGACCCCAGCGTCTCGACGGGGGGTCTCTTCTCTTGCAGACGGGTGACAGTCTGCCCTCACAGAGGGCACTGGGGTCGAGTGAGATGGTGCGGGAATCGCGTCATCCGAAGGTGAGCATTACTGGGACCAGCTTCTGGCCCCCGAGGGGGCCCAAGCCCATTGCCAAGGCCCCTGCTGGGCTGAGCAGCCCGGGGTTTGGCCTGCAGGGGGAGACCCGCCTGCTTCTGTTCCTCCCGCTGCATGCGGCCTGCCCTTTTTCTTTCTTTTTTTTTTAAAGATTTTATTTTTATTATTTTTTTATTTTTAGAGAGGGGAGGGAGGGAGATAGAGAGAGACAGAAACATCAATGTGCGGTTGCTGGGGGCTGTGGCCTGCAACCCAAGCATGTGCCCTGACTGGGAATTGAACCTGTGACACTTTGGTTTGCAGCCCACGCTCAATCCACTGAGCTACGCCAGCCAGGGCTTGCCTGCCCTTTTTCTAGCTCCTGAAGGTATGTGCATGGAGGGTCTGCTCTCCCTGCACACTGCCCGCTCTGGCGGGCCCAGGCCCTGCCCTGCTCTGTCAGGGTAGGGGGTGGGGGTGGGGACCACTGCCAAGGAGCTCTGAGGTGGGGTCGACTTCCCAGGTGGGACAGCATCCCGGAGTCACCAGGTCCACCCACCTAAGGGTCTCCGTGCCCACTGCTTCCCCGCCTCCTCCTCTCCCTGCACCCGAGGCTCGCACACTCCTGGTTCATCTCTCGGCACCCCTGTCCTCTCCAGACTGTCCTCCGCATGACCACGGGTGCCCCCGCCTGCAGCTGCCCCTTTCCGGAGCCCTGGGAGGCCAGGCAGGACAGGAGGCCAGACCGGCGCTCCCTGGTTCCCCCGGGGACCCTCAGCCATAGCCCTCCGCGCCGGGGTCTGCGGCAGGTGCTGCCCACAGGATAGGTTGGGGGTGTCTGCCCCCCAGCCTCTAGACACCCCCAGGCACACCTGGACCCTATGCCTTCTTCAATACTGTCGGCCCGCCCCATCTGCAGTTCCACACCCACAGATTCAACCAACCCTAGGTGGAAAATATTTGAAAAAGTTATGTTGTTGCAAAGCAAATTACCTTGTTGCCGGTGTGTACTATGTAACTAGGCCTATGATACTTGTTTCGTACTAAACACAGATTGTTTTTCTTGCCATTCCCTAAACAATACAGCGTAACAGCTAGTCACATGGCAGTTACATTGTATTAGGTGTTATGAGTGAGCTAGCGGTGATTTAAAGTGTAGGGAGGATGCACCCGTGTTATTCACACAGACTACCCCATTTCCCAGAGGGGACCGGAGCGCCGTGGGTTTTGGTGTCAGCAGAGAGTCCTGGAGCCCATCTCCCGCGGACACCGAGGGACGGCTGCCAGTGTAGCTACAAAGATACAGACACAGAGCACGCGCACACACACACACACACACACACACACACACACGGTCGTCCTTTTTTTCCGTTTGACATCGTCTCCTTCCCTCTCAAATGCAGACGCAGAGACTGGCCTGGCTCACCGACAGGACCCCGGGCTGGGCCCGCAGCGGGGCTCCCTGATGTTTCCAGAAGGAGCTCCCGTCAAGGTCAGACTGCTGCACTGGAGTTCCCGGGCTCCCCCTCGAGGGCCTGCCTTTGCATTCCGAAGGCGTCCCCGGCCGCCCGCCTGCAGCCAGGCGGCGGGATGATTGCCTCCAGTTCGGCGGGGAAGGTGACACTTCGCTTTATGAAACAAGATGACTTCTCCTGGAGGCGCCCGCCCATGCCCACCCCGATCCCACCTCTGCACCCTCCGCGGCTCTGCCCCGCGCCCGGCACGCTGCTCCTGAGGCAGGTTTGCCTCGGACGTGCGTGCAGGTCTCCTGGGGGCACCCCCCAGGTGGCCCCTTTCACCGTGGGTTTCAGGAACAGTCGCGGTGCGCAGGCGGCGCGGTCTCACTCCGTCCGTCCGTCTGGCAGCGAGGGGAGTTCCCATCAGCCCGCCAGGCCCAAGGTCACAGAAGGACGTGTCAGCCAGAACCTTCCATCCCTTTCATGTTTATTGGTCCCATGCTCTGTGGGAGACCCAGGAACTGGTGGGGATTCCGGTTGCCCCCCAGGACTGGGCAAGAGCTGGGACACAGAAGGGGGGTGGAAGGAAAGAGGAGGGGACTGGGAGAGCGTGAGGGACGGCGAAGTGGTCCCTGTCACCCCACAAAGCTGTCCTGTGTCCATCACCTGGCCGAAGCCACCCACCGGGAAAGGGGCATGGGGCCGGCAGTGGAAGAGGATGGGGAGGGGTCCAGAAGGACCCCCCAGCCCCAGCCCTGGTACCTGTCTTACTCTGCAGGCTCCGTTTTGTAGGCCCCCCCAGATACTGGGTTTTCTCCCGCTTGCACATTCTTGGGCTGAGGCGCCATCCAGCACTGGCCCCAGGTCCCTCAAGGATTCCCCTGCCCGGCTGCTGAAGCAGGAACCTTCTGGAAGACCAGGGTTGTCACTGATAGGCCGAGCTGTCCAACCCAATGGCGGGGGGCCCGTGGGATGTGCATGGGGCCCTCACCCCTACCCAAGGCCCCGTCCTGTAGCCCCCACCTCTAGCCCGGGCCTTCACCACGGAACTGGGGGGCTAACCACTCCCCCATTTTCACTTCTGTTAGCCTGAAGGCTGGGCTAGCCTGGTAGCTCTCGAGGGGAGGTCTGGTCACTTCAAGTCCTGGCTCTTGGGAGTTTTAAAGCTAAAATTGGGACAGTCCTGAGAAACCCAGGATGGCTGGGCACTGCACTGTCACCGGGACCTGCAGCTGGGTCCCGCATGCATGACTTCATCCGTGTCCTTGCGCTCCGGGAAAGGCCACGTTATTTTGCTCCTTCTCGTGTTTCAGACCCGGCTCCCACGTGTCCCGAGGGGCCACACCTCCCGCTGGCCCTTGGGGCTCAGGCGCCTTCCCTCCCTCCTCTGGTCCCATAAGCTCCTGGGCACGAGGGCGCCTCCACGCAAGGGGAGGGCAGGCATCGTGACCCGTTCGCAGCCGATGCCTGAGGCCCCAGCGCCGCCCCGAACTCAAGGCTAGAGGCCGCCTCGCCAGAGAGGTCCAGGAGAACCAGCCGGGCCCAGCCGGCGGGGGGCGTAGCTGGGACCCGAGTGACTGTCCCATCCTGCCCCCGGCCCCCCGCCCCCCGCCCCTCCTGGAGTTTCACGCCGCGTGAGTCACAGGCCCGCACTCTCTCCACGGGAACATCCCAATGACATCTTTAATGCTCTCACGCGAGGATGCCACGAGCGAAATCGCAGCTTCCGTGCATCCTAAATTACCCGCCGCCCTCCGGTCCGTTGCAGTGACACCCTATTTATAGCGTCTCAAGGAGGGAACACATCCAGAACCTTCCCCATGTGGGCCACCGCGGCCCTCACATTCTGACACGTGGTGTTTGCCCAACAGCAGATTGGTACACGGCGCCCCCACGACCCCTCCAGCCAGCAGAGGACAGCGACGGTGGCAAGGCCGGGCAGGGGGACATGCTTCTGGGCGTGCTCAGGTGCGCCGCATGCCCAGCAGCTCCCGGGGGTGGCTTGGCCCAGTGCCTCGCCAACACCCCCCAGACTGGTAGGGTTCCTGAGAGGAATGGGGGGGTGGGGGGGTGCTATGATCAGAAAACAGACCAGGTTACCCAAGAGGTGATCCCCACCTCACCCACCTCAGGCTGTCAGAACACCCCCCACCAGCCCACGGCCTGCGGCCTCAGCTCTCAGCCCAGTGCCCCCCCCCAGCCCCCCTTGCTGTGGCAAGACAGGGAACCGGCGGCAGAAGCAGGTTCCCTGGCTCTTGGAGCCCAGTGCCGACGGGTGGGGGGCAGCGGCACCCTCCCCCTTCCCTCTCCTCTCCCTCAGCCCCTGGACACTGAAGGAAGAAGGGGCCGCACCCCACGCTCCTCCACACACCCTGGGGTGCTGGGCAACTCGAGGGTGGCGCCGGGGCAGAGGGTCTGCATCTGGGCCCCGGTGCTGGGACGGGCGCACGGCTGTGCGTGGGCAGGCCCGTGCACGTGCAGGAGGCCTTTCCGCAGGTCTGGGCCCCGCCTGTGCCCCGGCTTCCTCGCCTGTCCCCCCACTGTCCTTCCCCCTCGGCTGCCATCCCCATTTAGGCCTGGCCACTGGCTGGCCGCCGGGAAGGGGCGGTGGGGAGACCCCCTGGACGCTGCACCATGAGCCGACTCTGGCTACCAGTAGCCCTCCTCAGTGCCGCTGCCCCTGCGTGGGGCAGCTTCGGCTACACCCTGGGCACCGCCATACCCTGTCCCCGAGGCCAGGTGGTCGCCTCTCCGGCCCCAGAGGAGGCTCCAGATTCCAAAGACAGGCGTCTCCCCCACTCCCCACCCCCCCGCCCCCGCACCACGGGGGCAGGCCCTGATGCGAGGGGTCTGGGCAGCACACGAGGAAGCCGGCAGTGGCTCTCAGCCTTCTTGGGAGGAGGGGTGTCCTCCACGCTGGGACCCTCACGTCAGGGGACGCCGGTGGCCAGATGCCCAGCCCGGAGAGGCGGCAGGTGGGCCCGCAGGTCAGCAGGGGCCTCGGCAGGGTAGGTCCCGAGAGCAGGCCGCCGCGGAGGCCGGTGTCTTCACCAGGGGTCCAGGCCTGTCCCCGGGCCGCTCACGCATGGACGGCGTTGGCCACGTCAGTGAACACCAGCCGGCTGGGCCTCTGCAGGGGGCCCTGAGACGGGAGCGTGGTCTGCGGAGAGACAGCCGGGGCGTCGGGGACCTTGACCCAGGGCTCGGGCTCCCTGACCCAGGCACAGTCCTCACTCCCTGGTGCCCGCGGCACCGGCTCCACCCTCTACCTGGGACGCCCTCCCTGCGAGCTCAGTCTAGAAGGTCCACCTGACTCAGATGCCCCGCCCTGGGCCCCCGCAGCCACCCCCACCTCACCCACCCAGCAGCGGTCACCCCGGGGCCCCGGTGGGATGAACTGTGCGGGCTGCACGTGTCCCCGCCTGGCGGGGCTGGCCTCTGTAACCCCAGCCCCAGCACGGCAGCCGGCCCCAGGTCGGTGCACAGAAGTCACCTGCCGAAGGGTCAGCCGTCCCCCGGGCTGGGTGGAATGAGGTTCTCAGCCCGGCTTCTTGACCCCCCCAAGGGGCAACGTGTCTGGATCCCGGCGACCCAGAGCCGGTGGCCAAACCAGAGGGTCTCTGGTCCCCCAGCCTGACCTCTCCTGAGTCCGTTCTCTCCTAATTCTGCTTCTGGTAGGGACAGACCCCGCCCTCAACGCCCAGCAACCTGTGCGGTCAAGGGAGGAGGGAGGCGAAGGGGTTTCACGCAGCAGGGGAGGCCAGGCCTCCGAGTGGTGCTCTGGCCCTTGGGGCTCTGGGGACCGAGGGCCAGTGGCCAAGCAGCCAGCGACTGTGGCGGGATGACCACGCAGGTACCTGCCGCTTTGGACGCGGGAGGCAGGTTTGGCTGGGTCTGCCTGCACGGCGGGGTCTGTCAGTCACTAGGAGCCCATCGATCTACTCAGAAGTGCCACTGTCCCAAGTGACCCGAACCACCACCCTCTCAGGACCACAGGCGCTCAGCGAGCAGAGGGAGCCGGGGGCTCAGCGCCCCCACCTGTCCCGTGGGCCCCCTCCTGCCTTCCTAGCTGGAGCACGGGGTGGCGCCTGGGGAAAGAACCAGGGTTGTCCCCCCAGGCCCATGAGAAGGCTGAGGCTGGGAGAGGCCAGGGGGCTTCCCGGGTCACTGGGCTCAGGGGCAGAGCCCGGCTGGGTGCCAGGGCCGCCGTGGCCTGGCCCCACGGGGCGGGTGTGCAGGTGGCCACGGAGCACTTCCACCGATTTCTGAACAAACCTGACGTAACCCACACCCGCACCAGCCGCCACCTGACCTCCTGACTGGGTGGGAGGGCTGCACGAGGAGGGAGGAGGGAGGGGCTGGGGGCTCTGTGGGCGGGCCGCAGGCGGTGCCCACCTTGCCGTGCAGAGCCAGCGCGGAGGCCGCGTCCCGCCCGTGCTCCAGCAGCTCCTGCTCCAGCTCGTCTTGTTCCTCCGTGGGGTCGAAGTTGTACATGGGCATGAGCTGGTGGCGCAGCTTCTCCAGCCTGGGGGCGGGGGAGGTGCAGAGGCCGTGTGGGGCGGGGCAGGCCCCTCCCCGCCCACCAGCCCTCCACGCCCTGTGGGCGGGGCCAGAGCACCGAACCCCGCTTAGGAGCCCACGTTTCCCCTGGGACTCAGCGAAAGCCATTTCTGTACCAGCTCCACCTCTCAGACGGGTGGCATGGGTTACAAAGCTGTCCTCTGTGGGGGGCCACAGGGACTGCCTAGGTCAGGGCAGCCGGGCAGTGGGAGGGGCGTCAGTGGCAGCCAGCTCAGGGCAGCAGGGCAAGGGTGGCGGGGCAGTTGGTTGGAGATGATCCAACCTTCTACTCTCCTGCTCACTCACCCCCACCCCAGGGTCACACCTGCCTGCCCTGGGGTGGGGGGACCCCTGGGGGGTTAGGGTTAGGGTTAGGGACTCCACCATCCTGGAGCAGAAGGGGTCACCCTCAACCCTGAGTGTGCGGGAGGGGCCCTGACCCCCGACCAGGGATGGGGAGCCCATGGTGGGGATGCTCCTTCCCCGCCCACGTCCCTGGGAGCCCGGCCGGCACCACCCACGGGCTGGAGCGGTGGGGGGCAGCTGGGAAGTTACCTCTTCTTCTTCCTGATGTACAAGACCTGCAAGAGAAGGAACAGCGTTCACCAGCCGGGGAAGGAGGCCCCCGTGGACCCGGCCGTCCGTCCCTCGGGGCAGGGACTGAGGCTGATGAACAGGAGACTGCGAGTCCCCAAGTCCGCAGGGACCCATACGTCCTGCATGGTGCGTCCCCCTGAGATGCGTGAGGTGCTGACCGTGTCCTTGAGGAGCCCAGCCCGAGGGCCGGGGCCCCACCTCTGCCCGCACCAACCCGAGGTGCCAGGTACTCGGCTCCTGCCGGGACGCCCCAGGGCTGAAGCCGGTGGGGACACTCCAGCGTGTCCCCTCCTCTGAGCTCTCCCCGGGCCCAAGGACAAGGATGGGCAGAAAGAACAGGACGCAGACAGGGGCTGCAGGCAAGGCTCTGGGCTGGGCTCCCGGGGTTTCCACAGAGGCTGGTGGCCCTCAGTGGGCAGGGGCCTGGAAGAGGGCCTGAGCCACGGGACGTGAGCCCAGACCAAACCCCAGTGTCCTGATGTTGGGGGGGGGAGCCGGAAGACCCCCACACCCCAAACTCCACTGCACAGACGTGAGGATAAAGGGCCTGGACAGCCCGAGGAAGCATCCAAGACCCAAGGGCTGCGGGCTGGAGCGGGAAACCCTGGCACAAGGCACGGAAGGAGGGAGGAATGGGGGTGGCCACCAGGAAGGGACGCCAGGGTCCCCTGCCACCATCTTGTTCTCCCCTAACTGCTTCTGGTCTTCTGCCTGGGGACAGCCACGTCTCCAGGGTCTGTCCCAAACCCTCCGTGGCTCTCATACTCCTTGTGGCCCATTTATAGCTAGAATCTGGTTGGGTTGCCAGCCCGACCCAGAGCTCCCCCTGCTGCTCCTCCTGGGGGACCCCAAAGGCCTGGGAGGAAACTGAGGTGTTCCCTGCTCCTTCACACTTCCTCCAGAGGGTCACCCTTGCTCTCCTGTGGGTGGGATGCACCGAGGGGCCCAGGTCTCCGCCCCAGCCCCGGCACCCTGTACCCCCCCCTCCGTGCCTCTCAGCCCTGCCCCAAACGCTCCTCTGGGCCCCGTGGTGCAGAAAGACCCCCGAGACAGGCCAGAACCTCGTGTCCGTGCCTCTCCCCTGCTGCTCCCTCTGCCCCATCTGCTGACATCGCCCCCCCATCCTTGCTTTACAAATCCTCCCCCTCCTGTCTAGCGACAGCCCCCCCTCCTCCAGGAAGCCCTCCAGCAGCGCCTCTCCTGTGTGAGGCGCACGGCCCGGCACCGATGGCTCCTCTGAGCGCCCAGCAGAGCTGGCCAGGGACTGGCATCAGGAGAGCGCATCTCCGGCCCCAGCTCCCGGTGCCCAGGAGCTGTGTCCTGCCCTCTGGTGCCTTTGCCCCGTCACCCCCCCCACCCCACTTTTGGCATGAAGGCCAGCCATCCTGGCTACCTGGGTGTTCCCCCAGAACCGAGGGGAAGACAGTCCCCCGAAGTTCCTAGGGTGAGACCTTTCATGGAGAATCACCAGGGCAGGTTCCCAGCCCTGACTGGCCCCCGAGGTTAGGGTGTCTCTGTCCGTTTAGATGCTGCGTGGGTGCCAAGGGGAGGGACTGGCAGTCCGCCCCGCCCTGCCCTAGCAGACCGCTCGGGCCCCGGCCCCACGCAGCGTGTTGCATCCTGGCCCTGTCTGCGGGCCAGCAGTCGCTCCCTGGCAGCGGCCCGGAGCCCGCGGGGCCCATATGGCGACTCTGGTTTAACAGCAGCTCCGAGCAGGGCATGGACGGACCGCGGGCGCAGCCCTGTTTGTCAAAGCAACACGTGCCTGAGCTAAGGGCAGCCACCAGAGCCTGCGAGGGGCGGTGGGTGGGCAGGATGCCACCATTGCCAGGCCCGCAGGGGGACCTCGGGGGCACCCCCGGCCTTCCTGGTCTCGGGCTGCGCCATCTCCAGTGCTCCCTCAGTGTCACTGTGAGCGCCCGCATGTCATCCTGGAGGGAAACCCATGTCTTCAGTGCAGACACCAGATGTGGGAGCATCCCGTGCTCTGGCAGGGGGACCCCACAGCCCTCACCCCTGCACACCCCATCCTGTTGTCTGCCCAGCTCTGCCTCTCCCGTGACACAGGGGCCAGGCCTCCCCCTGGAGGTCTCCGCTCTAATGCTGCCTCCTAGTGGTCCCTGACCAGGCAGCCTAGAAAGGCCCCCACCCAGGTCCCCAGCCCCGTCCCTGTGCGCTCCGCTCAGCGGCTGGGCTGCATGTCTTCCACTCCCTGTGGGAGGACCTGGTCCGTGGGGTCCTGGAGGCCTGACCTGGGGCAGCGGCCCGGGAAACCACTGCCGAGTGAATGAATGCACGCACAGTGCATGCCGGGGCCTGCCGTGCGCAGGGCGTCCCGCCCGGACTCCGTCCGCAGCCGGAGAGAGCTGTCCCAGGCACCCTGGCCTCTGCCCCGCTTGCACCCCCGCACTTGTCTGCCTCCCTGTTCTGCTTGCTGCTCACAGACCCTTCTGCCCGCCTCCGACTTTCACCCACCAGGACCCTCTACCCGGAAAACGCCCTCCTGCCCGACTCCTACGTGGCCTTCACGGCCCAGCTCGAAACACCGTGTGCCCCTCGGGAACGCCTCTGGTTCTCCCGACCGGAGGCGGCCTCTCCGGTCTCTGGGCCCCAGCGGACAGACCCCTGGGGGAGGGGAGGAGTGCGTGATCATTAACAGATGGCTATCTTGGACTAGAGTCTCTAAAACCTAAACACTGCCCACCCTCCTGCAAGCGTCGGTCATCTGGGGCGGCCCCAGCGCTCACCATGGCCACGGCCAGGCCAATCACCGTGATGATCCCGAAGGACAGAAGCATGGTGCCCACGCCGGCTGTGCCGCTACCCACGTCTGGCATTCTGGTGCCATTAAAGCTGGTGGCTTCTGGGCTGAGGGTGGTGGTGGCAGAGGCCGGCCCGTCCGTGGCAGGCTCGAGGTTGGGCTCGGGGGTGGACGGGCGGGTGCTGAACCAGCCCCTAGCGGACAGGGTCCTGGAGTTCATGCCGATGCTGCGGGACCACCTGTGGTCAGCCAGCCTGCTCACTCGCTTCCGACATCGGGACTGTCCCAGTGGGTGGCCCCACTGCCCATGCGGCTGGCCGCCTCCTTGGACAAAGGGAGCTCCCTGCTTCCCTGGATCCTGGGGAGGAAAGAAGAAAAAGTGTGAGCTGAGGATGGGACGGGACTTGGTGGCGAGATTAAGCCCCCTAAGTTCTGAAGGCACTGGGGAAACACAAGGTGGAGGGCAAGGGCAAGTCCAGGGGACATCATCAGGACATGTTGTTGCTCTCTCGGCAGTTCCCACGTGGCTTTAGGATGGTGAGAATGAAGCCCCGCCCCTCCTTGTGGGCAAGGTGACCGTGGTGAGCACACTCAGACGAGGACGAAGACGTGAAAGGTAGTGAGGTCTGAAAGAAAAGGCGTCTCCTCTGCTTAATACCCTTCCCCCCGACCCTTCCTCCCCACCTCCTCTCTCCCTGCCTCTACATCCCTCAGCTCCTGCTTGGAGGAAAACATAAGCTGTGGCTTTTTCCTCTTCTGGAGGGAAAAACTTGCCCAAGAGTCGGACCGGCCTGTCGTTGAATTCCGGCTCAGCTGAGCTGGATGATCCTAGGCAAGACCCCCATCTCTCCGTGTCTGTCTGTCTGATCCTAAGGTGCGGGCATTAAGGGCGTGTCCCTCACAGGGCTGGAGGGTCACTGAAACGTCAGCACGAACCCAACCCCAGAGAAGACTTCGCTCAGCACGAACCCCGTCCGTGGAGAGCACCCAAGACACACGAGAGCTTCTCCCCCTGGCCAGCCCCCGTGGGGAAGGGAGTCATGGAAGCCACTGGACCCAGCCCCCTGTGTGGTCCAGGTGGTGCTTGGGATGGGGGCGGGACAGGTATGGGGACCCAAAGGCAGGAATAAGAGAGAGGCTAGAGCCAGGTCCTCTGGCAGGGTTTCTCTGCAGGCTCTTGGGGCCAGGGGACCACTTATGAGGGACCTAGTGGCCTCCAGGGACAAGGAGGAAAGCAAGGGGAGCATGTCTTCCGAGGCAGGGATGGAGCTTTCACTCTGAGGTGCTTTCTCCTCCCCTCTCCCTGCCCTGCTTTAGGAGCAGAGGGTGGGAGACAGGCCCAGCCCAGCGTGTGGCTTGCGCCCTCCCAGGCCAGAGCCTTCCTGGGGAAGGCAGGGTGGACAGGGGTCCTAGCTTAGCTGCCGGGTAGCCTAGGGAGGGGAGGGACCCCTAGCATGCAGCTGCACACACCTCCCCGGGCTTGCTCATGGGTATATATGTATGAGGTGCCCCCAGTGCAGGTGCACGGGCATGTGTGAGGTTGGCACACACCCGAGCTGGCTCCCTAGGCAGGGGCAGGGGGTGGGAGAGGCTCCTCTCACTCTCCGCCCCCTCCCTCCAGCGAGGCTGGGCAGGTCAGGAGTCCTGGGTTCTTCCTTGGCTCTGACACTGACCCCAGGAGTGACCTTGGGCCAGACCCTTGACTCCTTCAGGGGCTCTTTTGCTCCTGTGCCCCAAGGAGAGGAAGGGCCCTGCTCATCCCGGTCTGTCACTCCTTCAGCGTCCAAAGCGCGAGAGAAAACCAGACTGAAAGGCGTCGGCCCCGTGACCTCCCCGGATCCGAGAACCCGCGCACCGTTCTCCACCAGGTTCCTCAGCCCTCCCTGACCCAACCACCATCCCCGCCTCCCCGACCTCAGCACTTACTTAATCCTCTCTGGGGCGCAGAGCTCAGCGGGAGAGGCTAGGGGTGGTAGCGACAGGAGGGCCCGGCCGGGGGAATCCCCAGGCCCCGGGTGAGGGGCCGCGGGTCTGACCTGAGGTCCACTCTCCCTGTCCGCTCCGAGCCGGGGCTGGGCCCACTGCGTCGCACCGCCCGCAGCCGCAAGCGCCGGCTCTCCCAGCACTGGCCGGGACAGGCAGGGCTGGGACCCACCGCGGGGGTGGGGCCGAGGCCAGCAGCAGCGCGGGTCGGTGGCGCTGGGCACCTCTCCTCCCTGCCCGCTCCGCGCCCCCGGGCCCCGATTGGCTGCCAGGTCCAGAGCCCTCCCGGCATTGGCCAGCTCGCCTGTCGCTTGGATCCGGCTCCGCCCCCAGCGGGAGCCGGGTGGTAGTTCTTGGACGCCACCCCTCACTCCCCTTGGCCTCTGCGGGAGTCGCGCGGGCACCGTGGGTGACTAGGCCCGTCCTGGGCCAGAACGCGGGCCCCGGGCCAGCCTGGCTCCACCTCCGCCAGGACAGACTCGAGGTCTTATAACGCAGGCGGACGCTGCAGGCTTAGGGAGAGAGTTGGACTGGGAGTCCTTGGGCCTGTGCTGAACTCTGGTTAGACCCTGTGCTGGCTTTGTGACCTAGAGAAAGATGCTTCCCCTCGCTGGGGCTCAGATCCCTGCTCAGATGGGCTCTGGGGTGAGGGCTCTTGGTAAACGGACCTGGCCCGGGTGCAAATGGGGCATCTTCAGAGAAGCTGGGAGAGGGACAGTATCATTCTTGGAGTGGTGTTGTTGGGCACCCTGACCCAGGCAAGCCTCCGGATTCCCCTCACAGTAGCCTCCTTCCAGGGCGCGCTCAGCTCAGCTCAGCTCAGCTCAGGGGAGGGGCCTTCAGAAGCCCTCTAATTCTCAGGTTTTTTAAAGGAGTTTATGAAAATGATTGAAGTAGCTTGTTACAAATACTGATCCCCGCGGATCCCCGGGAAACTTCATGTTAAATAGTAGTTTGGTGAACGGTGATCTCGTTAGCACTAGATTCTGGTGCGAGAAGGGGGCGTTGCGAGGCCACACTTCGCAGGACACTGCCATGAATGTTATAGGAGGACCTGAGGCCCATAGAGGGCTGGCCACCAGGACAAAGCCTTACTAGTTGGCAGTAGAGTCAGGACTCAAACCCTGGTCTCCTATGTCTGGTTTCTAGTTCCCTGCTCCAAACCCTAAAGCGGGAGCAAGAGGGGCAAGAGATGCCCTGGGGTCCAGTTGCCACCTTGGCCAACCCCCGCCCCCACCCCCCGCCCGCGTCCTGCTCGGGCCACTCCCTCGGCCTGGTCCTGGACCCGGAGCCCCGCCCACCAAGTTGGTACCCGCCCCAACCCTGGGACTGTGCGCGTGCTAGACCACGCCCCTGGACTCCGCGAGAACTCTCGAACCCAGGACTGGTAGGTACCACGCCCCCTTTCGGTCTGGCGGCACTCCGCGGCGGCGGGATTCCCAAATGTCCGCCCCGAGAAGTCACCGCGAGCTGGAGCCGCGTCTCTGCGTGACCTTCAGGAAGATTAGGGCCCGTAGGGAACAAGCCCACACACGGCCAAGCATTTTCTCGTCTCGTGCGTGAGGCTTGGGAGCGGCTTCACGGCCTCTCCCACCGCCTGCAGGGGACTCTCGGGTGCTACTCAGTGGCGTTAGGAACCCTGGAGCTGGGCGACTGGGTCCGCCCGAGCCCTTTCGCGGCTGCGCCGACCCCGGAAGCCGGGCGTGCGAGGGAGCTCTCCGCGAGTCACGCACGTCCGGCAGCCGAGCCCGGGCCTCTTCTGCAGGCTGGCGGGCGGGCCGGGTGACCCCACAGGCAGGTACGCGCTAGACATGGGGATCGGGTGGGGGCGCTGCCTGGGCCGCAACACCTTCGAGCCCCCGCCCTTCCCTCCGCGCAGCCCTCCGTCGTGCAGACGGGGAGATGGGCTGGGTCGGTGACGTTTCGGTGCCGGACTGAGAGCGAAGCTGTGCCCCTGACTTCAGGCCTCCGCAGCGCTCGGGCCACGAGACTCCTCTGGGTCCGGACGACCTGGATGTATGTCTTGCCTGGGGCAGACAGCTCCTTGCCGGGTGACTTCGGGCGAGCCGCTGCCCCCTCTCCTTCCCTCCTTGTCTCTGAAGATGCGGCACCTAGCAGGGGCTCAATAAACGTTTGTTTGGACCGTGGTCTGTGTGAAAGGAAAGGGGACCACTGATTAAAAACCGTCAGTAAAATTTATGATAACAAATATAAAATAAAAAATCAGCAGTATTTTAGTTGGCAACTTATGCTGACATTTAGGAATGTGGGTTGCATTGGGGGTGGGGTGGGGTGGCGTTTCAGCGTCCAAATCAATGACAATACAGGCAAAATGTCAAAAGCAAAACCTCCAACCCAAGGCAGCCCCTTCCCCCCTTGTAATATTAAGAGCATGTAACATCCGGTCCCTCTCGTCTGGAGCTGGCTCCCAGGACCTTGACTTTCACCGGCTAATGCACTGCCTGTCGAAATTGGTGTTATTCCCCCCATTTTATGGACAAGGAAACAGACTCAGAAATAATGACCTTTTGGGGTCAAACCGATGTGTCCAACCCCAAGCCGGGGCCCTGGCCCACCGGCAGCCCATTTATTAGCAGGGGCTGAGCTATGGGTTCGGCCCGCTGAGGCCGAAAACGGGAAGGGGAAACGTCACTGGCCAAGACCACAGGAAGCGAATAGGTGGGCGAGGGTCTACAAAGGCAGCAGAGCAGAGCGTGCCCTCTCTCACGCCGCAGGTGGAGCGGAGTGGGTCCCTCAAGGCTCAACGGCTCTGCTGCTTCTCCTCCCCTCTGCCAGGGCGGCAGCACGTCTGAAGACCAGAGCCTGTGACCCCCACCTCCGCCCAGCCTGGGCCAGCGACCATCTTGGCAGCTGACATCACAAGGAAGACTTGGGGACTCGGGAGTGCCCGGGGGAGCGTCCCCCGGCAACATGGAGCGTTGGGGTGGAATGCTGCGGGTCCTCCTGTCCGGCCCGGGGTGGAGGGGAGGAACCGGGAGCCGGGCCTTCAGCTCCTGGCGGCGCCATCTGCCTCAGGCTGGGTTGAGTGCCACAGAGCTGGTCAACGAGTGGACAGCGGTCTTTGAGAAGGAGGGCGTCCCCGAGGCCCGGGAATCCAGTGAGTACATCGTGGCCCATGTCCTCGGAGCCAAAACAGTTAAGTGCAGTGTTGTTGTGGGCAAGGGGACCTGGGGGAAGAGACCTGCAGGCTTTTCTGCCCCCCTGAAAGCGCTGATCTGAGAGCGATGCAGTTTTTCTGGGTGACTGCCTTAGGCAAATGCTTGTTCACTCATCCTGCAAACTATCAACGTGTGCCAGGCTGGGGGGTTCAGGGATGCCCGAGGTGGCCGGTGTTGGGCCCACAGGCATTGTTTGCATGAGAGATCTGGGTCAGGGCCTCTGGACCAGGGCAGCCAGTCACTCACGTTCTCCGTGGGACAGTTTCAGAGCCTGAGGCCGGCACTGCGGAGGCAGCCCCTGACCCCTGCGCAACTCCGGTGCATCCGGGAACTGAGCGGCCACCGACTGCGAAGGTGAGCACCGGTGAGCCAGACCTGAGGGCTCTGTGCGGAGCAGGGGTTCAGCCTCCCCCAGCCCCACCAAGTTCATGAGCGGGGAGGAGGAAACTCTCCAAGGATAGGGAGGTGCTGCGATGAGGGAGTGACAAGGGGGGCGTCAGGGCAATAAATGGGAAGAAGGTAGGGCGGGAAGGCCTTGGCCAGGAGTCCCAGGCACAGGAGACATGCCCCTACCTTACACTTTCGGCCGCAAGTGTTATCCTTCAACCCAGGCGTGGTCCTCTGGGTCCAGGCTCTGGCACAGACACCCACCCAGCTACCCCCTCGGCAGGATGCCTGTACAGTACATCCTCGGTGAGTGGGACTTTCAGGGGCTCAGTCTGAAGATGGCGCCCCCGGTGTTCATCCCTCGGCCAGAAACGGAGGTAGGTGTGCCACCAGGACGGCAGGATGGGGATGAGGCTGGGGTTCAGGGCACTTGTCCTGCCCCAGACTTCCTCCAGGGGGCGCTGGGGCCCCATGGCTGCTGTCCTTAGAGGCAGCGCCCTTCCAAACCCGGGTGTCCTGGCTGGCTGGGTGGATGAGGCCAAGAGGACCGATGTCTCCTGCTGGCCTCCGTGACTGTCCTTATATCCCAAGCCATTGCCCCAGCCCCCAGGGCTGGCAGTGCCTCAGGGTACCCCAACTAGGGCTGTCTACCAAGGACTTAGCCTGCACCTGTCATTTCCCCAGGGCTGGTCCCTTGGGCCCTGCAGCCTACCTGACCCATAGGAAACACACCTGCTCCTCCTCAGGAGGTGCAGGCCAAGTGGGGAGGGCTGGGGCCGGACACCGGAGGCCTGGTGCAGCTGTGACCTCACGCAGGTCTCTGCCCTCTCTGGGTCCAGCTGGTGAGAGGGTTGGCCTCCAGACCAGGAAGTCTGTGACCTGGTGGTCCTTTGGGACCTGGCGAGGTAATCACCTCTGTCCCTCAAGTTGCCAGGACTGGGGGGGGGGTGCGGCCCCAGCACGCTGGCCCTCAGCAAGGCACCTACTTCCAGGAGGTATGCTCTCTGCGGCCCTTCCTGGGCTCTCCTCTGACCTGGTAGGCGGCTGAGCCGGGCGCCAGCACAGAGCACGGGGTGAGGCTGGTTGGGGCCAGCGGGTAAGCCAGAGGTCACCAGGTTCTGAGAAGGGGGCATTTCTAGAAAGGCACCCAGGCACACAAACACCCCTGGGGAAGGTCAGGCCTTGCCTCCCCGCCCCGCCAGGGGCCCGGAGCCCCGCTCACCCTCCCAGCCTCTCTTGCCGATCCCAGGCATCCCCCCCCCCCGCATCATGCGGTGGTGAGGCCAGGCCCTCGCCCCACTGCCCACTCCCAGGGCAGGGACAGCAGGGAACTCCAGACCTTGCTGAAGTCACGAGGCTGCCGAGGGGCGGTGGGGTGGGGTGGGGTGTGGGGAAGGAAGGGAAACGTGGGGGCAGCACCCGGACCCCCTGACTCCCGGGTCAGGGCCCCACATGTCATCTGGGACCGCCCCACCTGGGACTGGCTGAGCCGGGAAGAGATGTTAAGACCCAGAGTAGGATGTGGCCCGTCACCTGCAGGCTTTTGGGAGGCCACCCTGTGTCTGCCCCCAAGCATGTGACCTCTGGCCAGGGGGCCGGTCACTATTCCCCAAAGCTGCCAAGGGTCGGGGTGAGGGAGGGAAGCTACCACGCCGACCCCTGAGTCACCTTGGAGTTGCTCTGGCACCAGCCAGGTATTCCGGGGTTCTGAGTATGGACTCCCGGCTCCTGTGCAGGAGGGGGTCCCCCTTTCCTGGCTGGGCCTGGGCCAGGAGCGCGGTGCCACTGCGGCAGGAGCGGCGGGGAGGAGGAGGCTGCGGCCGGGAGCCCCGGCCTCGCCTCACTGTACAGACATTTCTGAGAACTTGCCGGGTTCACCCCCATGCGAAGCCACACTGGGGGTACGTTACCAGGAACTCGAGAGGACGTGGCCTGTGGCAGGGAGTGGGGAGGACAGGTGCACGGGCGGGTCCGTGCTGCACGGGCTCCGGCCCACCGAAGGGCGGTTTCCGATCACGGGGGCAGGCGTCTGAAACGTGCAGTCGCAGGTGTGCGGCCTGCCCGCCTGGCGTTCCCGGGGCCGAGTGGGTGGCTTGGCTCCGGTCTGTGGCGCGTGCAGTGAGAAACCCGGGGCCGTGGGGGGAGCTGTCCCCACCAGCCTGCTAGGGGAGGCTTGTGACTTGTCTGTGGTTGGCTGGAGGGAGGCAATGTCGCCATCCTGGGGTTGCCCCGCCGGGGATGTGACTCTAGCAGAGGGTGCGCGTGGCACTTGGGTCCTGCCGAGGCCCTGGGCCGTGCTCTTGAGGGGGTGTGGAGTCTGCGGGGGGCGGTGGCGCCCGGCGGAGCCGACAGTGGCCCGCTCCCTGTGGCCTTCCCGCATGGCCCCTCTGCCCTCGGATTCTCCCCTCGTGCACCTGGAAAAGCTGCCCTGGGCCTGTGACCAGCTGGGCTTTCAGCGCCCCCCACGGAGCCACCAGCTTCACGCCGAGGGAGGCTCGTCACCGGATGAGGCAGAGAGAGAGTCTCTGCACTTCTCAGGGGTGGTCTGCACCCCACCCCACCCCCTGGTGGTCCCACGGCCCAGGCGACCCTCCCCCTCCCGTGGCCTGGAGTGGACGAGAGAGGCAGTGGGGACGCCATCTCTCAGCCCCACACCCTGCCCGGGGTGGCCACTCACAGACGTGGTGGTGTCTCTGAGGTCGGGGGTGTCTGGCAGGCAGCTGGCTGCTGTGGTTGGCTGAGGGGTCATCCTCGAGCCGGAGCAGGTCTGTCTGTGGCCAGGAAACCCAGAGAAGCTCGCGGCCCTGACACGTCTCGGCCGTCCCACCAGCTGCGCTGTACGCAGCCTCACCACGGAGACCGCAGGCTCCCGGCCGCAGCCCGGGGCTGCTTGCTCTGAGCCAGCCCCAGCACTGGGGGCCCAGCCGGCCGCCAGCGCCCCAAGCCTCCGGGGGTGCTTGGTCCAGGGCCAGCGGTGGCGAGTGAGGGGAGCCCTCTCCGGCTGGCGCCGGGCCGCCTCGCCCGTGACAGCAGCCCGTGTGGTGCGGAAGGGGCTTGGAGCAGGGGAGGGGGGGGCCCGCTGGCCAAGCCCTGCACACCGTGCACTTGCTGCCCTGGGGACCAGTGAGCTTTGCTCCTGGGGTCAAGGTGCCCCGCAGGAAGAAGTGCTTTCTGGGACTCGGCATGGAGGGGCTTCTGTGGAGAGTGGGGCCTGACGGCTGGTGTTGGAGAGTTGGAGACGCCTAGGGTCTGGGACTCAGAGCATAGCTTCCCACGGCCACCACGGAGCATTGGCCCCGCCCCTGGGAAGTGGCCAAGAGGCCCCTCTGTGGGCCAGGCCCTGCTTGGTGGGGGCACCCCTCAATGTGTTCGAGCTCTGGCCTTGCCGTCACGGGGCCTGCAGTCTGGTGGGAAAGGCAGACCCCAGTCCAGAGCTTAGATCCCCAGTGCAGGGAGCCGTGGTGGGGAGAGCCTGGCGGGGGCCGAGTGAGTCTTCCTGGAGGAGCTGGGCCGCACGTCAGAGGAGGGCAGCACCCATCTGCTGGCCCCACCCCCACCATTCCCTGGGCCGGGCCTGCCCGAGGGCCCACGAGTCCCTCCTTCTAAAGGATGCCTTTGGGAAGGGGCCACACGGCCCTTCCCCTGCACTGTGCCTGGGCCCCCCCCGCCCCCCCCCCGCCCCGCTCCGCTGCTGGCTAGAAACAGTTGACCTTGGGCAGCAGTGGCCCCGACCCTTGCCTCCCCCCCTGCCTGGGCTACCATGCACAGTTCCTGTGGGTGGCAGATGGGTGGGCGAGGAAGCCCGGGACATCTAGGCCCTTGATAACTGACTGCCATGAGCTGCAAGCCAGGCTCAAGGCGAGATCTGGACCCCTGGGCCCGAGTTCCCTCATGGACCGGTGGTGAGGACCTGACAGGTTAGTGTAGGGAAGGCTCTGGAAGCAGGGCCGGCACACAGGGAAGAGCCAGGACCATCGAGAATGGTTCCTCGCATTGCCTCGAGCTGGGGGTCACCAAGCACGGACCACGTGCCGACGCCGCGTATTTCGAGAATGTCATTTGGTGCTCTCCCTGCCACGCCCCGACGAGGTGGGTTATCCCCAACAGTGCTCAAGTCTGCAGGGGGAGAAACAGGCAGAGGGGCTGCCCGTGGTCCCAGCAGACTCGGCCCCCCCGTCAGCGTGGCCCCGCCCCCTCCTGCGTTCACGCAGAGGCTAGTTATGCTGGGGTCTCAGGGGCCAGGTGAGTGTGGGCTCCGATCCAGCCCTCTCTGCCCCACAGGAGCTGGTGGAGTGGGTGCTGGAGGAGGTGGCCCCGAGGCCCCGTGCGGCGGAACCCCAAGGGGGCCCCCTCATCCTGGAGGTGGGCTGTGGATCGGGAGCCATCTCCCTCAGCTTGCTGAGCCACCTCCCCCAGGTGAGTGTCCCCTGCACCCCTCCGCCCACCCTGGCTGGGGGGGGGGCCAACTGGCGTTCACTGTCCCCACCCCGGCTGTCTGTGCCAGAGGCGCTTGAGGGGACACTGCCAGACGTGGGTGGACAGGGCCACCCCCAGCCCACCATGGTCACGGCCTCTACCCCCAGCCCCTTCTGTCTGGCCAGGCACTGGCCCGCAGAGGGAAAAGACGTGGGTCTTTCCCCCCTTTTCTGGCCGGCGGGCGGCTGGGGGCTCTGGTCCCCAGGCCTGGCCCCGCCCAGCACCCACCTCCTGTGTGCCCTCCATGCGTTCGCGGAGCAGAGCAGAGCCATCGCCGTGGATAAGGGGGCCGCTGCCGTCTGCCTGACCCGGGAGAACGCTCAGAGGTAGGTGGGCTGGGGGACCAGGGGGTCGGGGGCGGCGGGAGTTGGACTCGGGCCTGACCTCAGCCCCTGCTCGGGTGGCCAACCCACCGATGTCCACTCCCAGGAAGGGTGAGGCACTGGGGCAGCCCGGCGTGGCCCCCACCGGGGTATGAGTGGACAGGGGGGCGCCGGGTGTCTCGAAGTCCACGAAGACGTGTCCCCCTAGTCCTCGCAGCCGAGGGCAGGAGTCTGCCCTCAGCTTCTCTCCCCCTCCCGTCTCTCCAGGCTTCGTTTGCAGGACCGGATTCACATCGTCCCCCTCGACGTGACCTCAGGTACCTTCCCAGCCTGTCCTCCCTGGGGCGGGGACCCTGGGGTGGGGACCTAGGGACAGGTGCCACCGGGCGGATGAGGCACTCCGCAGCGCTGGAGGGAGGGCTTCGCAGCCTTTATCCCCCCGCACACACATGCACTCACACTCGAGCACTCACACTCGCGCACGCACACACACGCGCACTCGGGGGTCTCAGACCAGTCTTTGCTGGGGACAGGCGAGTCCCTGTGGCCCCCCGGGCTGACTCGACCTCGAGGGGACCAGCCCCCGGGCTTTCCTCACCTTCCAACCCCCCGTAACTAACTAGTTCTCTGGGGCCTGCTTGTGGTCAAGGCCTGAACACAAGGTTAGGAGAAAGCCCCCCTCGCGTGCCCCTCAGGCCCGCCGTGCCCAGGCACAGCAGGGCTTGGCTGCGCTCCTTACCAAGTGTCCTGGCTCCTGGCAGGGGCCCTGGGCCCTCACGTGCCCGTCCGGCTGGTCAGGCCAGAGGCAGGCCCCAGGTGTGGCTCCCCAGGGAGGGGGACGTGGTGGTGGGTGGAGCTCCCACCCCACCTCCCCTTCTCTGCTTCTGTGTGTTCCCTGGATGCAGAGGGGAGCTGGGCGCACCTTCTGCCCTGGGGCCCCCTGGACCTGATCGTCAGCAACCCTCCCTATGTCTTCCGCCAGGACATGGAGCAGCTGGCCCCTGAGATCCGCAGGTGCCGGGTGGGCTGGGCCAGGGCCCATGCCTGGGAAGGCCCGGTGGGATGGGTGGGCCCGTGAGGACCACGCCGTGGGGAGGGGAGGAGAGGAGGAGAGGCTGGTGTTGGGAGAGAGCTCACTCCAGCGCCCACAGGCCTGCCTGCGTTTAGCTCCTGTCGGCACCCCTGTCTGCGACTCTCACCTCCCGCCGCCTCCCCTTCAGCTACGAAGACCCAGCCGCCCTGGACGGCGGGGAGAAGGGCATGGACATCATCGAGCGCATCCTGGCCCTGGCCCCACGGCTCCTGAAGGACTCCGGGTAGGCATGGGGTGGATCCTCTCAGGTGGGTCCCCGGCAGCCTCCTCCCCTCCCGGGTGTCCTGGGCCCGCCCTGGCTGTCATCCTGCCCCCACCCCTTCCAGCCGGGGCAACCCAAAAATAATGTGGGTCTCGGCCCCGCCTGGCTGACCCGCCCCGCCCCTGCCCCCCGCCGCCCGTGTAGAAGCATCTTCCTAGAAGTGGACCCGAGGCACCCGGAGCTCGTCGGCGGCTGGCTTCAGAGCCGGCCCGACCTGTCCCTCCAGCTCGTGGCCGTGCGCAGGGACTTCTGTGGGAGGTGAGAGCCCGCCCCCCCGAGCCCTCCGGGCACACTGGTCCTTCCGCACGTCTGTCCCGGCTCCGGCTCCGGCTGTGGGGACGGACGGACCGTGTGCTGCCCCCGCTCCCCGCTCACTCCCTGGGCCCGGGCGGTCACGGGCCCTCGCTCCTGTCTCCTCAGGCCCCGGTTCCTGCACGTCCGGAGGTCTGGCGCCCCGGACGGCCGCCCTGTGGACGTCCAGCCAGGGCCTCTGCCTGCCGGAGCGCCTGGATGACACCTCTTCCCAGAATGCTCCTTGGAGAGAGGGGGGCGGGGCCCTGCAGAGCTCGGGACACTCGGGGCATTTCCCGAGACTCTGGGATTCCCCGTGCTCTGCGTTTCTAGGAGGCTCGGGGGAAGGAGGCAGCGCAGGGGCGCCATCCCTCCTGCGGCAGCAAACGGCAGGGCCGTCCACAGCCCCGGGGTTCCCAGCCTGGCTCCGTCACGCCCGCGTGGCCAGCGCAGGCTGCTGGGCATCTCTGTGGGTGGAACGGCCCTGGGGACGGGGGGGGGGCGGGGGATGTGGCCAATGAAGCGTCAAGAGACTGGCCCCGGCTGGGGTGGCTCATCACTCCCACGCACCAACACGTTGTGGGTTTTGTCCCCAGACGGGCGCGTGCGAGAGGCAACCGATCAATGTTTCTCTCCCTCTCTTCCTCCCTCCCCCCCGCCACCTCTAAAATCAATAAGCATGTCCTTGGGTGAGGGTAAAAAAATAAATAAACAAAAAGTGTCAAGAGACCAACAGAGACCACAGTTTTGTCACCGTGATTGATAGGTGCCCTGGCCCCCAGGCCCCAGCAGGGCTGTGGGTGAGAGCGTCCTTCTGTCCAGTGGCGTGGCGTGGGAGAGCAGTGTGTGTGTGTGTGTGGGGCACACGGGGGCTCCTGGCCTGGGACGCTGGGGCCTCTCTCCCAAGGGCCGGCTCAGCCCCACACGGCGCTGGGGGCCCGCCCGCACACTCCCCGGCAGAGGGGCCTTGGCTCAGGGCCCTGGAGTCTCTCCTCTTGCTTCAGCTGGGGGGTGGCTGCTGGCTTCCAGGGTGAGGGTGGGGGGCGGGAATGGGGCTGAGGGTCCTGGCTGCCCCATTTGGGGTCCCAAGTCCACATTCATTTAGCTGAGGGCTTGAGCCCGTGGGGGGTGAGCAGGGCTTGTGTTCACTTCTTACTCCCCAGTTTGAGCCGGGACCCCCCTCCCAAGGGGGTTGCAGCTAAACCCTCCGCCCCTGGCTGGGGCCGGAGAGCGTGAGAGGCCCGACAGAGCGGGCGCCCGTGCGACCTCCGCCCCAGCTCTAGTCTGCGTAGCCCCGTGACTGCCAGGGGGCCCACAGGCCGAGCCCTGCTGTCCAGTGACAGGGAACCTCCAGGTGACATAGGTGTGAGCCCGCCTCGGCCGGCCTCACGGGGCCGCGGCAGACCCGGCCGGCTCGTTCCACCGGACGCCCCCTCCGGCCCAGGAACTGTAAGGGCCTGGCCTGCTGGTGCAGCCACCGGAGGCAGTGTGGTCGGGTGGGTAGCGTTCTCTGCCGGAGCCCTGGTCTGGTTCAGAGATCAAAGCAGGCTCTCAGATTATGGTTCTGGGATTATGTTTTATGGTGGGACCTCGGGCAGCAACTTTTCCTGAGAAGCTGACTCTGCCGGTTCCCGGGCCAGAGCAAGGTGGCGGCCCCAGTGCACCCTGCCAGCCAGCTGAGTGTGTGGCTGGCGTCTGAGTGCCCAGTCCCTGGGGCAGGGACTTCCCCAGGAGACGTGGCCGCCTGAGGCCCCGTGGTGGCAGCGTGAGTCAAGTGGAGACGGGAAGTTAGGTCCCTCCCTTTGGGGAGTCTGTATTGCTGGGGTCACATCTGGTTTGAGTGACTCCCCTGCTGTGGCTGGGCGTCACTTTTGCCTCAGCAGCGGTCACGCTACAGCCCCCAGGGCGCTGGTACGTGCTCCTTGCCCAGCCGCAGCCGCAGGGGCTCCCGGCTGCCCCTGGCTTCCCTTGGGGAGCAGCCAGGGCCCCACCTCCCGCTGCTCCAGGGGCATCCTGGGTGGGGGTGCGATCGGCGCGAGGCTTCGGCCTTCGGAGCCCCGGCGCTCTCCGACCTTCGCCATGGGGTCCTCCCCAGCACGGCCTCTCCTCTCCCGCCGCCTGTGCCCTCGGCTCTCGCTGCCCCCACAGCATCCCTGGGCAGCTTCCCTGACCAGCAGCCCTGTGTCCCCTTGTCCCCTTGTCTCCCAGCCCAGGCCGCACCTCAGCCAGCGCTGGCTTCCCTGACGCTCCCGTCCTCCCAGCTCAGGCCCATCACTGAGGGAAGGCCTCGGCCAGCGGGCAGGCTGGGCCCCCCAAGAGAGCAAAATGATGGAGAATGACAGCATAGGGGCAGCCGGGGTCACTGAGGCGGGGGCTGCCCTTGGGGACAACATCCTTCCCAGGAAACGGCAAGGCTCCCCTCCCCGGGGAAAGAGGTCCAGGCCTAGTGGCCTGGCAGGGAGGGGCCTCAGGCCGGCAACAATGGCCTGACAGGGCGTAAGACCTTGAACTCCCATCCATGCCAGGGCCACACCGGCCCGGCCGCAGATCCGGGCCTCTGCCTGCCACCAGGATGTGACTTTGGGCAGATGCCTTCACCTCCCTCAGCCTCGGCTTCCAAGCCTGAGGAATGGAACAGACACTTTATCTTACAGGATGACCGAGAGGAGCCCGTGGGAGTCGCCCGCCACAGGGCGTCGTGTTTTCATTGGCTGCCTGGGAGGGCAGACAGAGGAAGGGTCCTGTGGCCTCGGTGCCTGTCTGGCTGGCGGGGCCATGGACATCTGGAAGGGAAGGGAGGCAGGGATTTCAGCCTGGGCTCCTGACTGCTCTCTGTCCCCCAGAGAGGGAGCCTCCAGAGGCTGGTAGCCTGGCAGCCATGTCTCCCCCAGCACGCCCCCCCACCCCCCGTCACCAGGGCCTGAGTGCCCGAGGTCCAGGCCAGGGCAGCCAGTGGCTCCAGCCCAGGGGAGGCCAGGCTCACCTCCCACCTCAGTCCTGGGGCCAGCGCCAAAGATGAGCTGTCTCCTCCAGCATGTGTCCCAGAGCCCAGGAGGTGGGGCGGCAGGAGAACGTGGGGCTGATGGTGGAGTCCGGGCCCCGGAGGTTTTGAGAGGCACGCCTGCTGCCTGCCCGGGCTCCGTCAGCCAGAGCGGGGGCGTGGGCAGAGGGCGCAGGGGTCTGGTGGACGCACTCTGGGAGAGCGATCCCACCGCCCTCCTGACAGCTGAGGAAATGGAGACGTTGCATCACGGCAGATGCTTTTCCCAGCTGCCCACGGGTTTCTCCACAGGCAGGGCACGTCTCGCTGCTTATTGAACTGCGCCCCCGACCCTTTTCCTGCTCCCGCCCCATCATTAACTTCCCAACCCCTGCCCTAGGCCTGTGGCCAGCTCCCCGTGGCTATGTGTGGCATCAGTGTCCCGAAGACCCCAGGTCTGGAGAGGTAGAGGGGGCGCTGTGGGAGGGGCCTGCCAAGGGCCCTCTGCACTCTGAGTGAGCTTCCAGCGGACCCAGGCGCCCACTGCCGCCAGGCTCCGAGGGCTGCTCAGCCCCTGCAGGCCGAGCGAGCTTCCCCGTCCACCTGTGGACTCTTGGCTCCACTGCCCCGGCCTCCCGCCGCCCTGAAGAGCTTCGGTCCCTCCTCGCCACGCCCTCTCCCTCTGCCCAGCCAGCGTGTCCATCAGGAGTGCCCTTGCTCACCGTGGCCATCCGAGTCACCCTCTCCTTCAAGTTCCAACACCAACTACCTCCTCCGGAGCGCCCGCCCCGCCCTCTCTGTTCTCCCCGCCAGCCCCTCGCCCGACCTCCGGCCAGCGTCGACGGCACTCTGCCCCTTGCGTCTGGAAACCTTTGTGTCTCCTCGTCTCTCTGAGGCTCCATGCGGCCCTGGCATAACCCAAGCTCAGTAGATGTCCAACAGGATGCTTGGGCATGCATCTGAGAGCATGCATCTTCTAGAGCGGAGCTGGGACTTTCCCTGTGGCTCCCACCTGACCTGACAGCTGCTCCGACATCTTCCGGTCAGCAGGCAGAGGAAGCCGTTCGTGGCCCCGCCTCCCCCGCCCCACCAAGGCCGAGCAGCTGCTCAAGTTGAGCCACCGCCACTTCCAGGGATCAAGTGCACCTGATCCCCGCACAGGGGCCCCGCCAGGAGCACAGGCTGTCCTTGGCGCCGGCAGGGGCAGGCGCGGGTTTCCTGGAGCTCTGGGCCCCAGCCAGCCCCCAGCCAACATCGTGTTGGCCAGAGTCGTGGCCTGATCACCCCTCGTGACCCCTCAGTCCTGGACGGGCCCTCTGGTTGGGGCTTGGGACCGGCAAAGCAGCCCTACCGCTCCCATGGTAGGAGGAGTGATGGCCCCAAACAGGCCCACGTTCTCTCAGGCCCCAAACCTGCGAAGGTCTCGCCTTCCAAGGCCAAAGGGCCTCGAGACAGGGAGATTGCCCTGGGTGGTCTGGGTGGCTGCAGACTGTTCCAACCGAGGGTCCTTGTGAGAGGGAGGCTGCTGGTCACGCCGGAGGGGAAGGGCTGACGGATGCAGACAGTCAGCCTCCCGGGGCTGGGAGAGATGGGGAGAGGGGCTTTCCCCAGAGCTGCGGGGAAGAGTGCGGCCCTGCCCACGCCCAGACTCTCGCCCAATAAAACACCCGGGCACGGAGATATCTCACAGGGAGATCCTGTGTGTGCTCATGTTCGCGTCCCTCGGCTTCTCGGTGTAGGCAGCCTCTGCCACTCCCAGGGAGCTTGCCCTGGCCGCTCCGCCCTGCGTGTCCTGGGGGAGCCCCCTGCCTCTTCCCCCCCGGGGGAGTGTCCCGGCATGTAAGCCTGGGCCACATGCTCCTGGGAAGCCTCAGGAGTCCACGCCCCTGCCCTGGCTCTGCTGTGGACCTTCCAGGGACTCAGTCCCTCGTCCCGGGGCATGGAAGAAGTCCCCTTGCAGAGGACAGGGGCCGGGGGCTTCCCTGGGGCCTCTGATGGCACCTTCCGGGGAAGGAGGACCGACCAGGGAAGCCTGTGTCTCTGAACGCCTGGGCGGGCGGTGGTTCTAGCACCTTCGCTTCTGGGAACTCGCTGTGCTCTGGAAAGAGAAAGGAGAAGCAAGGCCCCAGGGCCCCAGCCCCGCCACCCGCCCCTTCCTGTCCTCTTCCGCTGAGTCACAGCCAAGGGCTCCGCACCTCGGCCTCCCCCTGGGTGGGGTGGAATCCAGGGTCATGTGAGGACAACAGCCTCTGGGACAAGTCCTCTCAGCCGATCAACAACCTCTGTGCGGGGGCCTTGGTTTCTAAGGGCCGAGGCCACCTCCCCAGCTTGGGGGAGGGGCGGCTGAGGTCCTCTGTCCTGTCTCTGCTTTCATCCCTGGCCCTCCCTTGCCCGCGAGCACTGAGCACTGGCTGTAAGCTGGGCCCAGCGAGGGCCTGACTCAGGTGGGGCCCGGCGCTGGAGGGACTCCTGGACTCGGATGTGGATGCCTGCGGACCGGCCCCTAGGGAGCGGCT